TCCCTACGATGTGGGATTTAAAGTGAAATTTACTTCACTGCAACATTATACAAAGCTTAATGTTTATTTATGTCTTGAAAATAGTGACATTATTTTTTAAAAATGGAGATTCTGAAAAAAAATAAGGTTTTAAGAAAGAGGTACAAGCATGCAGAGTGAAAGTGAATACAAAACTTAAAGGGCCATAACTTAAAACACGTCATTAAAATGTTCTATCTTGCCAAAAATTACATGGTTTTGAAAATACGCTTTTTTCAGTGCTTAAATTTAGAAAAAGATTTCAGAAAACCCAGTAAATAATCACATATCTAATTCATTTCATCACACAAAATTTTGAAAGAATATTAAGACTGCAGATGGGAAATTAAAGTTAGCTGTTTACACAGTCATCAACTTTTACAGATAATTTCAGCCAGTTTGTTCATATCTTTGTAATCGATTATAGCACAATTTTGTTACCTACCTTAGACATATAAAAAATATTAGGATATTCTACATTTTTTAATACAAGATAGCAATTTTAGGTGACTCTGAATGTTTAAATTATTATATATCATAAATGTTTAGTACACACTTTTGACTTAAACCTGAAGTTTAATGACTCACTTAGAAGCAGCCATTAAGCATTAGCTTTGCTTCCAATAAAAATGATTACCTTCATCAAAATTAGTTAAAAGGGTAATACAATTACCTGCGCAATTAGCACGGCTGAACACATAGGTGAGCAAGACCCACCATTTTTCATGCACATGATGAACAATATGTTGGTTAAGTGCCATTTGATTTTTTTCATTTTGCCTATGGATTTTAGATCTGATGCATGCATAGCAGTGCACTGTGTGCACCTGCATCCACACACATCTTGGAAATGTATTTTAGGTTTAGTTAGAAGCATAAATGTATTTTAGGTGTAGAAGAGCACTGCTATAATCTTTTGTATCATACCTCAAACACCTATCTACAAGCAGGCAGAGCTGACATTGCACAAAGAACCCTGACAGAATAATTTCTTGACCTCTTTAAACATTAGTCTTTACAATTCACAAAAGAGTGTGGAGTTCAGTAGGCTTATTTATCTTCCTATGAGTGGAAAAATCTGCCCTAGCCAGAGAAATACTATTTTTCTCTCTCCCCTTCCCCCCTCCTTTACTACATGTATGATGAAATTAACCTTTCTGGTTAAAAAGATGTTATATAAAAAAAAAGTGTATTAGGTCTGTAAGTGAGGTGAAATTTTTGCTTTGTCCCCTACCAGAAACAACAATCCCTGCCAATGGGCTCAGAACTTTCAGTTGTACAGCATCATTAGCACCCATTCCCCAATTTTCTGCCCAAATTAGCCATTTTTGTGGCACAATAAGTTCCTGCCCAACCATTCAGCTGCTCAAAGGTTAGACACAGTTCACAGGGTATGTTAACACTGCTTTTACAGTCACAACCTCTGTGTCACAGTTGAGTATATCAAAGTCACACTGGAGTCACAGATAGACAAAAGAGTGTTTTAGGCAGGAAATTCAGCCTTGGGGTGTCAGCTGCTTCTTAAGGTTTCTTTAAAAAGTGGGGTGGAAGTTTCACTGATACTCGCCAGGAATCAGGTGGGGCCTTTCTAACTGGTTGGTGATGCAGCTTAAAACTTCAAACAGATGTAGCTCCTGTACTATCAAACTCCTGGGTTCAAAACTATGTAAAATTAAAAAAAAAAAAAAGTTTTTTCCAGATGAAACATTAAACTCAGCACCTTAAATTTATACAATTACATATTCACATTATAATTTTTTATTCAAAGCAATAAAACCACAAGCATTTTTTAAAGGAAAAATATTATTTTCAAAGCTGTAGAATCTCCTAATATGTTATAAATTCAGCTGAAGTCTGATAGTGCTTTAATAATTTGAGCGATTAGTGAGTGACAGGATCTGAAAGCTCAGAGGCACTTCAACACTGTTCTGTGTTTCCTAACGTTAATCCTAACCCAGAAAATGGTTTCCTGCACATATAAACCCTCCTTCTCCAATTGAGGGGTTTTTTCACATATTTTGTGTTCCTAGCAATATCATCAAACTGTGTCTTCATATGAAAGAATGAACACAGACACCATGCATGCAAGAGCATGTCTTCAATATTATTTTACTGATTCTAAGCAGACAATACCGACACACAGACATTTTCACGTGAGCTAACCCTCCATAGCTGATGTGCTTCCAACACTCTGAAGCAATTAGTCTATTCAGTGCTTGTGAGGACACATCTGGAACACTCTGTTCAGTTTTGAACTCCCCAGTTCGTGAGAGGGATGGATATGCTGGAGGAAGGCCAGTGGAAGGCCACTAATCTGGCCAGGGAGCTGGAGCACAACAGATGAGGAGAGACTGAGAGTGACACATTGTTTAAGAGAAGGCTGGGGGAATTTCAACTGCCATCTTAAATTACATTTTAGTTACAGAGAAGACTTAAGTACACAATGAAAAGGCAGAAGGCAACAGTGAGAAGCTACATCAAGGGAAATCCCAACTGGGGATAAGAAAAAATGTTTTAGTGGAGGGGATTAGGCGCTGGCACAAGTTGTCCCCAAAAAGCTGTTGAATCTCCATCCTTAGAAATTTTCAAACCTTGCCTAAACAAGGAAGCAATCCTACTCTGAGGATGTCTCTGCCTTGAGAGGATGTCTGGAGGTTTCTTCAACTTAAGTTACTCAACTTAAAAAGGTAAAAGCATATCTTATTCCAGCTAACAGTAAGGTTCTCAAAGGACTGAGTGCCTTTCCACTATTTCTTTAGTGGTTTACCACCTAATGACATATTAACTACTTTTATAAAATTGCTGAAACTACTCATCTTATTTAAGAATTTGCAGAATTGGGCCATTTACCTTAGATACTTCATATTGATTTAAATACATCCTTCTGAATTTTTCCAATTTGGAGCTACACAGTATCAAGCCCCTCCTACAACTTTTAAGGGAATACTATTTTTGAACACTTAAGCATTACCAAGAGTCACTTTATACAACATAATATTTTAAAACATGTGTATATATTGCACATTTAAAACTGTACCTCCACCTCAAAGTCTATAAAGTTAACAAAACATACATGCACATGCAACACATGAAGAAAAGCTTCCCTCAGAGAGACATAAATCCTCATTTTGGTACAACTACATACAGCCATAAACAAAACCTTATATAGTGCACACAAAAGGTCTGTGTATACAGTAAGGCAGCCATATGATTTGGAAAGAACTCCATCTACTCAGTATGTTACATTAAAAAGACAGCTAAACAGGTATAATTGGTATTTCCTCTCTAAGACAATTGCCTCAAGTTGTACACAGATTATTTCAACTCTGAATCAGAGCCCATCTTTACATTAAAAAGAGAAGAGGCATTGTCAAAACAATATGAAGAGAAAACAGAAGTTTTCCTCTCTGAAATCATAGCACTAATGTATTTGTTAGTTGTAAGACAGAAAATTTAGCCATCTATTCTCCTCGATGGAGTAAGATGTCAGAAAGTTACTTGTCCATATCAACACTTCCTTCTTGCATATTTGAATGTTTACACACCATGTGCTTAGTAAGAAAACAGACATATCATCTCCAACATTTTTTACTCAAGTATCTTTTAAAGGTCCAAGAGCTTCATTTGACAAAGCTAAGATGCAAACGGTCAGCCCCCTTTTCTTTCATACCAGTTTCACAATGTTCAGTTCTGCTATAAATGCAGCTTCAGTCCATTAAATACCAATTAACTTCATCAAGATAAACCCAGGATAAATCTCATTGTGCTTGGTTTTTTAGGTGTTTGGTTCACACAAATGAAGAGCCAACATTTAGGACTTTTCAAAGTTCACACGTGTGTACAGTTGGTAGATGGTGGTGTATCTATTCGACTTCTATTTTCCTTGGCGTCATTCAGAGGTGACTCATTACCTATCTGGCATTTGAAGACTTGTTTGTAGGCCTTCCTAAAATTTTCAGAGAGAAATGCGTATATAATCGGGTTCACAGAAGAATTGCTGTAAGCCAGGCAGTGTGCTGTTACTCTGAAGAGAAAGGAGGCTTGAGTCAGTGGGAAAACTCCAAATTCAGCCCAGAGATGAATCACGTGATGCGGCAGCCAGGAGATGCCAAAAACCACTACCACCACCAACACAGTCTGTGCTGTCTGAGACATGGAAAGGAAAACACAGATGTCTGATGAGAACTTGAAGAATCAGCTTTAAACCTGCTTCAAAACCACTATTGAGGGGCAGGGGGAAATGCTGAGAAAGAACACACTGTGGACTATTTATTACTGATTTTACTCCATTGCCTATATGGGCTTTAGTCTGCATAGTGACTACTGCAAGAAGAACCTTAGCCCTGAAAATGCCATAGTAAAAGGCAAATGTATAGTTTTGCTTGAAAGTAAAAGAATGATGTTCCTGATTCCCTAGACAAAAGCATAAGCTTGATGTAAACTAATGATAACATGGGTCTTTGGGAGATCTCATCCAGATCTAATGATTTATATTTTTGTATGGTGTACAAGGATTTCTGACCATAATTTCAAGAGAGATCTATTATACGTAAGGGCAGATAGTGGAAGAGCTTAGAGCAGTCAGACGAACACTTTGCCCAAGTGTCTGCAAAAAGAACAGGCATTTTTTGAAAGTCTCTCCTTTAAATGTAAAATTTCCACAGGGGGAATCATGCAACATCATTCTGGGATACAACTAGAGAAAAAAAGAGAAAAGCAATGAGCTTGAAATTTCTGGTGATCACACATTGTCAAAAACAATCTGGAAATTAAAGTTTACCACCAAACACCGAATTCAGAAAAAGGGAATATAAAATATCTTCAGTGCTGCCTCCTGGCTTCACTTTCACTGTTTATGAGAAAGAGTGCCATCAAGTTCATTAGATCCATCCAGACAACTACAGCATCAGTCAGTATAGATCTTTCAGGTGATGAAAGTATTCTGCCAGGGCACAGTGGAGTTAGATTGTCAATTGTTTTCTTTAGCTTTCACTTACTTCAGAAACAGCAATTAGTGCTTTGCAGTTGCTCTACTAATTAGTATCTAGTCCTCTAACAAGCATCTCTTTCAACTAAATCACTCTCTCAGTAAAAGCCTACTATTAATTCCAAAAGCATATTATGTTATGGACCATTATCATTATTATATTAACAACTTACAACATAGTTTTTCAGATAACTTAGGCTTTCCTCCACAGGCAAAAGTAACCCAGTGGCCAGAGTGATAAATACTGCAGTACAGAGTATATCTAGTCTTTTTGCAAGTTTATTGAACTTGGTGTTTACTTCCTGAATCGATTATATATAATAATTCAGACTAACATATCTAATCACAACATGGCTGAATTTACAGAAACTGACAGAAAAATATAAAGGTTGATTTCACTGGCAACAGACCAAAGTAACTTACGTTGTTGGTTAGTAAAATCTCACAACAGAAATAAAGGATATTACATCTGTAGTAAATGTAATTTGTTTAGTCTCAAGGATTCATCTGTTTCCACAAGCCATTCCCCTGCTAAGCCCTGTGGAGTATAAGTCAGTTGGTACTAGCACTCACACGCATATTTTCTCTTTCAGGTCTCATCAGGAGAACGTGTGCTAACAAGGAAGTATAAATTAAGAGCAGTTCCTTTTCTGATCCTTTAAACGTGTTAATATTCCAACTGAAAACATATTGTCTGGATACCATTTCCACAATTATTTCAAAAGAGGCATATTACTTCAGTGCATTCAAAATTCAAAATATACCAGGAAAATCACTGACTTTCAACAGAGTCTACAGATGCACCTGAAAACAGAGGTCGACCATGTGCCTCTTGTAACTATTTAGGGTTTTTCATATCTGCAGAATAAACAATTTTGCATTAGAGAACCTCAAACATCTGTTATATCCCATTAGTCCTCCTAATCCTAACTTTAGAGCTTACCTTTCCAAAATCATCACTATGGCTTGCAACCAAAGTAACACTAAAGGGCAGCTCTTGTTTGCCTAATGGGAGCTTCCTTAGGGTTTCTCATTAGCACAGGAAAAACCAACTGAAATACATGATGTTAAATATTGATGCTTTGTGATGAAAAAGCATGAAAAATAGCATTTAGGCACATTCATATTTTTCACTACCTTTTTCGACATATATAGCAAATTAATTTTAATATTTTACTACTGAAATTTTTGTAAAGTTTTGAATAAAGCTAGAAATGTATAACTAAGCCTGAATTGCATTTTAACAAAACTGTAGAAGGAAAAGAAGAAAGATACAGTAACCAGAGAAAGACAGTACACTAATGAAAACAGAGTTGCTTAGAAAAAACATGAGTTAGGCCGTAGAATGAAAAACGTATTTGCTATGGCAAAGAAAAAAGTTTGGGCTGCCCTTTATTTTATTTTTCCCTTTGGTTTCTGAACATTAATACATCCAAGCAGTCTTGGGCATATATGTAATGCTTTTCCCTGAAGCTATGAAAGCGAGTTCCTAGCCAGATCTGATTTTTACTTGCAACTTTTAAGATTTAGTGTTTAGAGTAAATGCAGAGATATTTCCAGTTTTAGAATAATTTAGATGACAGTAGAGATGGCAACGTGCAGAACACCTTTGAAAATGACCTTTTGGCCTTGATGACATGAAGTGTAAAATATATATGTTAAATACTTCATGGAATCAGGACCACAGTGCTTTTAATTCTAGGTATTAAAATCTATTGACTACAATATTTTTCAATAAAATAGGGAATGCATAAATAATAGATTACTTATTCCCTGTTGAGCCCATGTATATCTCATTTACATTGGAGACAGTCTGCATGCCCATATGGTAATAGTGAACAGATCAAATGAAGAGCTATAGCCTAAGGGTTTTTTCTGGCTCTGCATTCATAAACTGAGAAGTTAGTCAAATCATTACTTTGGTCAAATCTGCTCAAAAATCAGAACTGTGTTAAATTAACTGACAAATTCAATATATAAACACATCAAATACTGTTCTAATCACAAAGCTTATATTCTGCTTTAAAGACCTTTCATGATTCTACTTGTAACAGTACATAACTTGTCTTGAGCATAGCAGAGAAAAATGTTTTGTGGAAAATCAACAGAACTGCATTATCATTAAAAGTCTCTTATTAGAATTCTATCACAAAATAAACCTCATTTTAAAGTCTCATCATATAACTTAGTAATTCTTCATAAATGATACAGCTATTTTAAAAAATCAATTAAAAAAAAAAAAGAAAATACTTACAAGTTAGGGAAAAATGCCTGTGAGCAAAAAAAAACCCACCCCAATCTAATATTAGAGACAGGTTGTCTATCCATGTGTAAATTTCAGATGCTCTGAAGTTCAGAATATGGCGATCTTAGGTAAAGGCTTAATGCACTGAGATGGAAAACCCTAATTAGGAAATATTCCAATCCTGCTAAGTTCAGAGAGACATTGAATATATCATTGAATACTTCAATTCCTTCTCTCCATTACATCTTTGGCAACAAGCAGTATGATACTAAATTAGCTTAGCCATAAAACAAACGATAAACAAATACATAATGGTAATGAAAGCAATCTACCTTTTTCTTGGATGCTTCTGACTTCTTTGACATGTTTCTCAGCTTCTTATGCAGATGATTAAGAACCTGAAAAGATTAATTTGTATCTTGTATTAATTTGTATCTTGTATTTCAGTGCATTCTAAAATTCAAATCCATGTATTTTAGGTTAGGCTCTCCATTACAGATGACTCGCTTACAAACATCTCTGATTCAACTGACACATTTCAAAAGTGCACAGTATAAAATCCAAAGGAATTACTTATCTGCGTCTGCAGGAATCAATGAATATGAAGCGGGCCACGACTGAATTCTTCTATAAAAATTCATATATATTATGTAACAAACATATATTTCAAATTAAGAAGGCAACAAATGGAAACCTATCATGCACACAGAATTAACAATCATTCTTCTTCCATGAAAATGTCAATGCTTGTTAATTTAGAATGACCTTTACTGCATGTAACATAAAAAGCGTATGTTTTCAGTCAGAGCTTTTCTGAGTCACCTGCATAATTTGCTTTCTTCAAATGGATGTTTGGTTAATATAATCAGGATGTTGATGCTATTTTATCTTCGAAAGAAGCTTAGGCTTTCAAAAATAATTTATACTAAAATGTATCTCACATGAAGCACGACCTTTATCAAGAATTGGATGACACTTGTCATGCACCTTTCACGAGTAATTTTTTTAAAATATGTCTCAAAAAGGCTCATCACCAAACAGCAGGGTCCAAATTTTAACATAATTATTTATACATAAGATTTTGGACAGTGGTCACATAGAGGTGCACACCCTACTTTACCTGCAGTCATTATTAACTGAATCTAATATTTTCTCATGGCATGATTTGTAGGCATGGAGGGCAGGGAATATCTCTTCAACTGAATATGATTAACAATTTGTAAACCATACAGAATTAAAAAAAAGAAAAAAAGGAGATGCTGAAATAAACTCAAGGATTTAATTGCAATAAGAGGAATAGAGAGAGTGCTGAGATGTAGAGCTCAATTAGATGATGCTGATGTTGGGTTGCATTTTACATAGCTCTAAGATGAACTGAGAACAATCTAATAGGTAAGATCATCCAACATTAAAAGGATTTTTTTAAGCTATATAACACTAAATTTTAGGGCTTATAAAGAGACTTCTTGAGGTGGGAAAAAGGGTATAAATTAAAATTCTCTTACACTATCTGGGGATGTTTTCACTTTTTTCTCTAAAATGTGCATCTAACCACTACCAGGACAGACACCAGGCAAGATGACCTAGACTTGATCTCACTCTGGATTTGAGACTTAGAAACTTACATAATGAATTAAAAGAAATTATAATATTTGTGAATAACCATAGCTCATCAGTGGATTCCACTTTTCAAATATCTACTCTTAGTTACCAATGAACAACAATAAAACAACAGAAACCAGAAACAATAAAAATTACTTGTGACCACTTAACATTGGAAGTGCAGTTCATTTGTGCTTACCTGTGCACTAACATGTTTGTGCATGAAATGACTTGGCCCTCCATGTAGTCCCTATTCTGAAACACTGGCCAGGCTGCTACCAAGACTACCCAGAGTTCAGGAAAGGCAGGAGAAAAATAAATGGGTTTTCTCTGAGAAGGTCCTGTTTTGGGTTCAGTTTTTCTTTCTTCTCCAGGAGCAGATGAGAAAGAAAGGACAGAAGAGCCTCTGAGGTCCAGCGGAAGACCAGAGAGATGACCCACTAACTCACACACTCTTTATTCACCTGCTGTCACTGTGTACTGCTTAGTTCATGGGTGAAACACGTAAAACAAAAAAGAGCATGGGAGAAATACAGTGGTGAAGTTCACTTCCCATCGCTGCTACTTCACATAACTTAAAACAATGTGCTGCTTCTACTGGGCCTTTGAGAATCCAATCTCCTGCCATGCACAGACTACTGTACTGTGATTTTCCCTCACAGCTCAAAACTAAAGTCAGACAAACACTTCCCAGAAATTAGAACTTGAAAATATTCTTTTAAAGTCACAAATATTTTTATCTTTTGTTCTGAAACTTTTAGCACACCTCATCGCATCTCTCCCCAGGTCCAAAGAAAGATGCAGTAGACAAAAGTGTTAAATTGGGGTATCTGAGAAGTGAGAGGGGGGTGTCTATTGAAGATTTAGAGGATAACCTTCCAATAAATCCTTCTCAATTTCCACTCTTTCAGATTGTATACATATTTCTCTGCAGTGAAAACATGCTGGCTCTACATGGTAGCGTACCAGATGGTATGAAAACCAGCAGCAAGAGAAATAGGCAGAATTTAATTACCCATCAACAGCAGTAAAACATCACTCAGAGACCTACACAGAACCCTGTGGAGGAATATTAAGAGCCATGTTTATGCACAAACACTACAAGGGAAATCAAACACACCTCACTGCCCTGTTCAAATTACTTCTTCTCTAGGCCAATGAATAATCGATCATATCTCTAACAGCCACTGTCACTTCACCTGAATGAGCAAGTATTCTACAAGTGCCTCTGAATTTGTCTCAGGTTATTTCTCTAAAGAGAAAGTCCTTCTTAAAGTCCTTCAAGGTATCCACTCTTACACTTGCATGTGCACTTTTAATTCATGGAATGAAATACACACCTTGCTAAACAATAGGTCACAACCTGTTCTCAGCAACCTGTTATATTTTCCAAAAACTCTGCTCTGTGGAAAAATTAACTCTTTACATGAAACTTTTCTAACTCCAGCTTTCATGTACTTGTTGATAGGAGATTTTATTTGGCTCTTGGGGAAGGAATAGCTCTCCTGTTTTCTGGAGATGAGGGTGGGGTGCTGTAGGAAGAAAGTTATACTGATGTGAAAGAGGGTGTAAGAAGACTTTTAGGATCACAGAAGTATAGGAAGTTTCCGTCTGGTCCAGACTGTAATACCACAGCTATGACCAAATCAAGTTGAGAAAGGGATTTTTCGAATATAGGAGAGATTAAAAAATAGATTGTTATCTGTGCTTGTTCACTTAAGTCTACCAAATACTGTAAAAGTCTGAAGTCTATACTGTTGCAAAGCATATTTCCTGTCTGTCCTTCATTATCAGCCGTTGAAAATCATGCAGCAGGAAAGCCTAAGTTCATTATCTAATAAGAATGAACTGCTTGCTTAACAGAGCCATAACGTGAGTGTTACATTCTGAACCATATTTTAGAGTTTGAAACTGATTTAAATTCAATGCCATTGCCTGCAATCCATTTTTGAAAGTAATGCTGCTACTTCTATTGTCACAACAGATCCTTCACCCTCTTCCATTTAATAGTATTGCTAATGTGTCATACCATTTATTCTTTTCTTATCAGTGTGGTTTAGTAAAGTTTTCCCTTACTGCTCAGAAAAAATTTAAAAATAATATCTTAAGCCAAAAACCATATAAGCATGTATTTTATGTTGAGGGTCTTACTTTTTACAACTTACTTTTAACCAAGTCTATAAATCATACATGACTTCCATAAATTCAGATTGTTCAGAATGATAGATACTAATGAAAACATCCTTAAGGCAAGAAATAAGCTTTTAAAAAGTTTTTAACTTTATACATCTATAAGTTTGCTAATGATTTTGGGTGTTCAACCTAAAGTTTTGGCTGAGGGAGGCCTGACTTTCAAGGACTGAATCCTCATAACTGGATAAGCAGAAGCACCCAAAATCAGTTGTCACATTGTGCTACCCTGGAAGATGTCAATTGTTAGAAGCTCACCGGGAAGCATTTATCAGTTTGTCCTTTGAGATCACATTAGTGAGCAAATGTAGCAATGTTACAAAACACATACAAAAAGTCAGTATCAAGAAAATACAGCACTGTAACTCAACTAATAACTATATAATCACTGCTCCTCTGGGTGGAGTAGTAAGCTCCTTTCAAGAGTAGTTCTGTGAGCCAACAAAAGCTTGTTTGCTGTGGATTTGTGATCTCTTGACTGTGTGTTCCCAAAAAGATTTGTGTCTTCCATGAGTAGATGCTACATCAGACCTCTTCCCTCTATGGATTGTCTGATGTTTTAACAGCTGAGTGCAAACTGACTCTCCTTAAAGGAAAGAGGATGATGAAGATTCTCCATCTTCTTCATTGACTCCTGTTTTCACAAAACTAGGGAAATATCATTCTTTCTGATATTTTCACTCCTCTATCAAATTTGGTTGAAACTCAACAAAAGTTATTTGTGGGAGAAAGGAAATGGATAGATGTACACACAGGACACAGTACACGATCTCATAAATCTCTGCTTTAAGAGCATGTCATGTGAGATTTCCAGTTCTGATTTTGTGGGAGGATGCTGTTTCCAAATATCTAGCAGTATTTCAGCACTTCCGTAGGCTCTAACAGTATTGCTATCCACTGGGGAAAATACAAATCTCTCCTAACATAATTTAATAGAGAGTGAGAGAGCGAAAGAACTCAGCTCCCTATTAGAGTGCCTAAAAAATGAGACTTTCAAAACTGAAAGTTCAACTGCAATTTGCTTATAAAAGAAACAGAACTGCCTTAAAGGAGTCTGGAAAAGGCAATATATTCAAATAGAGAAATGAGTCTCCTTTGTCTTAATATACTGTATCAGAAGATTGCATTATTTAGCTGATCCATAGTTCATGAAAACCAGTGAAGTCCATAAGAAACTAATGTATTTATTTCTGTAATACTTCTAAGGCTATTACACACACAGCAGTGATCTTTTAACCCTGTGTGAATTCAGAAGCCCAAATACTTGTACTTCACAGTACTTCAGTAACATCAGCAAAAGGTTGCAGTGACCACTTTGCTTGAGACCTGTGAGAATAGTAACAGCTTTGACAAATCGAAAACTAAAGCTCCAGTTTCCAACTAGTCATTCTTAATTTCCCCTGCCCTTGCCCCATGTGCCAAAATACTGCAGTTGGAGATTTGCCAGTGGCTCCTACTGAGGACAGGAATGAGCATTTATGCCACAGGGTACAAATACCTCCAACAGCCATGTTACAAGTCACAGCACTTTTCAGCTTCTTTGACAGTGATGGGAATACCAAGTATCTCCTACATACCTTCTAAAACTTACCCCTTCAGGTTGGATCTTCCAGCCTGACACCATGGCAAGCAGGATCATACATACAGGCTCAAAACATATCACCAAGCAAGGGCAAGGTCCTAGCCTGGCAATAACTTAAGCACAAGATTTTAACTGTAACTGTGAGCAACGTTGATTTTATGAACTTGTTCTGGGCACATATTTCACACAGAGCTTCTTTGTTATTGTGGGGTTTTTGTGGGGTTTTTGTTTTGTTCGGTTTGGTTTGTATTCATACTAATATTGAGAGATCCACTTCTGTAGTGGTGCTTTGTTACAACATGGTGTGTTATATTTACTATGCTTTTTTTTTTGTTTAAGTATACTATTTCCCTTCCTCTCCCTCTACTTCCCCCTTCCCCCCCACTATGCAGGACTGTTGCAATTTTGAAAGACGTTTTCAATCCCCCATAATATAATTAGACTCTGAAGGCTGGCACTTTATGTTGAAACTGAAGATGCTTTGGCTTTGAAAAATATAATAATTCTTAATAGCTGAAAAGCTGCCTCTGCACACATTCCATAGCATTTTCCCTGAAATATGTAATCTTTTCTTAAAACTGATAATCTGTGGCTACAGCAAGTTTCATCCCTCTCACAGCTCAGTCATATTCAGCACTGTAGATGAAGGATCAGTGTATTCATCCAGGGAAAACAGAACTCAGTTTATGTATGAAAGCATGTATTTCTTCTCCATTTACCAGGTCAGACTTTTTTCATTACAAACAGTAATTTAGAAATGTTGTCCTTTGAGTTCTGCATAACTTGTTTTTAGCAGAGTTGGATGCCACTCTAGCCTGAATTCGCACATCACAAGCTGATGTACATAGAAATATAAATATGAATATGAAATATTTATATGAAATACATATCAAATTGAACATAAAACTAGTTGTTTAAATTACATCTACTTAATTTGTTGAATAAAGAACTGGCATTTCAACACTTCAGCAGTCTTTAATCTCAAGAGCAGACCTATCCTTCCAAATATAACTTGCTGCCTAAGGAGGAATCCTCCTCATGAAGGTTGCTGGCACAGCAACAGGAGGATGTCTGCCTAACCCAGCAGAAAGCAGCTGGAGCTCCAGCTCCTGTGCAGCAGAAAGCAGTGGACTGTATGTTGAAGGCTGCAATTAATGTTCACAGAAAACTACGACAGTTTGCCTGAGCAGAAAAGTCCTTAAATACCCTTATTCACACACCCTTACTTACTGCTTTTTCCTACCTGAGTCCTCATGCACTGCTCCCAAGCACCACCTTGCCCTTGTTGAAGTCAGAGGTAAATCTCACATCCACTTCAAGTGGGACAAGACAGGGCTCACAGGGACCAGGCAGTGGGATTCATCATTTGCTCTGAACATGTTCACTGGATCAGACACAACTGTTGCATTTGTGTCACTTTTAAGTGCACTTCATTTTAGGAACCACAATGCTTCATCTGAAGCTTGAACAACTTGTTGCTTTGTTGTACTTATTTGAGTTAAACCCATACAGCACTGCAAGAGAATAGGAGAGTTGTGCTGACAGAGAAAGCAGCAGAGCACTGCAGCTTCTTAGCACTTTGCAACAAGAACACGTCAGAGGGACCCCAGTTATTGCCAGAACATCCCCACCTCCTAGCCCCGTGCAATCTTTGTCCTGATTTGTCTGTGCCACACACATGTGCCCCCCTGCCCCAGTTATCCCTCAGCTATAAAACCTGCCCTTCCCCTTTGCGCCAGAAACTCACCTCTGCCCTGTCACCTCCCAACAGTGCCATGTACCTCCATGTGACCAGAGATGGCCCCACAGCTCATGGACACCTGCCACCATTGTGTCCCGTCCCCCCCCCCATTCCTTTTACATACCCTTCATACTACCTGTTTTGCCCCACCTTGGCATAGCAGAAGGAGATGAGCAGCAGCGGGAGCAGATATCCGAAGACAAACATGCAAACCACGTAGACCTTCTTGTGGCGTGGGTTGGGCCAGTGCTCCCAGCAAAAGGTCTGGTTGGAGGCCTCACGGTGGAAGAGGCGCTGGTGGTGAGCCACAGGGGAGGCCATGGCGAAGGAGAGCGCCCAGATGAGCCCCACGCCCAGCAGTGCATTGCGGGAAACACGCAAGGCCGAGGAGCGTCGGGAGTGCACAATGGCCACATAGCGGTCCACCGACATGGCCGAGAGTGTGAAGATGCTCACCAGCATAGAGACAGTGAAGAAGTAGTGGATGAACTTGCAGACAAAGGCACCCAGAACCCAGGTAGGGAGCACGTAGACTGTGGACTGGAAGGGGATGCAGAAGAGCAGGTAGGCCAGGTCGGCAATGCTCAGGTTGAGGATGAAGATGTTGGTAGTGCTGCGACGCTTGCCTGGCTTGCTCCTTGCCAACACCGTGATCACCAGCGAGTTGCCCAGAACCCCCATGGCAAAGATCAACACAAAGACGATCAAGGT